AGTGCTCTCAGTCAGTGTCTTCACTTGCTGAAGACAAGAGGGATTTTTCCCTGTGTCCCCACATGGGTCATACTGATGCTCAAGAAGATGGCTCTGCGGTTTAGCAGATCATAAAGAGTCAGAAATTAAAGATATTCATGGATTCCTGAAAGGGAATGAACTGTGGGGGCACATGTGTAGTTTGGGAAGCACAGAACTTCATTTCTGACCCACTCCAAGCACCTACACTGCAGAGTCAAGGGATTTCCACAGATATTCTGCAAATGTCCAGCAGATGATGGTGGGACCACAACAAGGTGAGCTAAAAAGCATGTTAGAGGTCAGGATGAGAGTTCAAAACGACCTTCACAAACCAGGAAAAACAAAGTGAAGAAGATTAGGGTGGCATTCTGGAAGCACTGCTGCACAATCATATGCTTAGGTAGGTGAAAACAGCAGCATCAAAAAGGAAAACAACTGGTTACATTGCTGTGCTGCAGAACGGAATCTGGGGAACAGCATGGATTATAAACCAAACAGAAGTCAACAATTTCAGGATGTCATGAAAATCAAACACTCTGGGATGGGCAAACAGGAAGAAAGCTTGTTAAATGTACCAGTAATCTCATTGCTCTGTCCCATGTGAGCAAGGCCTTAGGAGGAACATCACCACCTTTTGGACACCTCATTACCAGAAAGGTGACACCAGCAAAAGTCGTGATCACAGGCTAAAGAATGGGATCTAAATATAAATATTGATAAAAACTGAGGGAACGTGTGGTGACATTCCTGCAAAAGTTCTTATAGCAGATAAAAAGGGACAGGAAACTCAGCTTTGCATGAACATTTCAGAAAGGATAAGAGTCAAGGGTTAAATCTACAGTGAAGGAAGAGTTGGAATAGAAATCATGAGAAGTTTATGTATTTGCTACCAGGATTGAAAAGCACTGAGCTGTCTGGAAAGGGCATGTGCCTGAGTGTCTTCACAGGACTTCAAGGACAGCTTGTCTGAGCATTGGCAGGAAAATCCTGAATTGAACTAAACAAGAAAGTGATTGTAAAAAATATTCAGCTACTGGTGTGGCAATAATCCAAGATACCTAGCTCCTAAACAGCAGCAAAGAATTGCTTCAATGAAGACATTATCTTCATTTTTCACCTGTACACTCCCATAAAAGTCCTGTAGCTACTGTTGGTTGCACCCACCTGCCAAAGGCTCCACCTCCCTGAGATGGTCACATCCCTGTCTCACTTATACAGCAGCAATTGTTCTGCTTATTTTCCATCTCATCATAAGAAGTCTGTCCCAATTTTTGCTGTGATTCCCCAGAAGCTTTCAATTATTTTTCCAGAAGTTTCCTGTAGCAGGGATGGGTGCTAGGATGGCAGGTTATGGCTCCAGGGCTAGAGCCTGGGTCTCTCTGCCTTCCCCATCCCAGTACCACACTCATCCTCACATTTATTTCACACTGGATCTTCATCCTCTTTTCCCAGCAGTGTCCCAGTTGTAACTTTTTCACACAGACACACTTTTTCTTTACTGCTCAGTGGAAATATGGACCATTCTTAATTTCACTTGTTTGGGCTTTCTCCATGTTATGAGTGACCTCTACACCAACCTGCCTTTGCAACTCTTTCCAAGGTTTTATTCCATCCTCCAGCCTGAACTCATTGCCAGACTTTCACTGACCTGCAGTGGCACCGAGTGGAAAAGTGAAATAAAGCCCTGTGTCTCCTCTTGCAGGACACAGAATTACTGAGAAATTATCTGGAGTGTCTACAAGGCAGAGTGATGAGGAGGAAAATCTTATCTTTGTACTGCTCTGGGTCTCTGCAGCATATAGATCATTTGTCAGTGCCAGTTTGAGGTGGGCCCTCCAAACAGCCTGTTTTGCATTTGAAGCACTCACAGGACACGATGGTTCGGCTAAAAAACCATGCATTTTACATGAAATCACCAGGATAATTTGGCTGTATATCGTGTTCCCACAACTTAATATTCTACCTACAGATGTGTGATCAAGAAGAGATTCCTTAACTTTGACAGGGCACATCACATTATACTCACTTTATTATTGGAAATGATCACCCCAGGGTGCAAAAGGGAGCAAAGACATAGTTTCATCATACCTTTTTTTTTTAATAAACCACATTTACTGCAGTGTGGGGTATTCCAAAGCTACAGAGCGCCACTTGCCAGTGGACAAGTGGCTATATTTTACCTGGATTGTGCAAGAAGCAACTGCTTAATTTAATGCTGAGCTGCGTAGAATTCACTCTGGAAAATTCAACTTTTAGGCACACAGTTCATATTCTTCAGTAAAAAGTAATTTCAGGTAGTGAAATTAAATATTTTAAATGCTGTACTCATAGATGCAACCAAAAACTCTCCTCACTATGGCCACACATCCTCCCTTGTACTCAGGACAGGATCCAGTACTGGACCCTGATCTTAACTTTAACAGTTTTGATGCTTGCTAAAACCAACAATGAGATTTTTCCTCCGCTTTGATGGTTATTACAACCAACTAAAGTTTCCTATTCTCCAACTCCTCAAAGACTTGACTGCAGACCCAGCTGAGCAGACCAGAAAAATATACTCTCGAATCTCAACAAGCACTTGATACAGTACATTTATCTGGAAACTGATACCACATCTATTTTGGCATTATGATTTTTATTTTTAATCCTCCATTTAAATACCCTATTTCACAAGCAGGAAGGAAAATGAACATGGGATGGCCCATAGATATTTAGTAGCTATAAAATAAAACCTATAAAAATGAAAGTGAAATGAATTATCAAACCATAAACTAAAGTTCGGTGTTTAAAATCAGCCAGGGCTTTAAAAATTCAATTACAGCTTTAACAGAAACAAGTTTACTCAATATTTTAATAACCTTCTCTCAATGTTTTTTTCCTCCTTTGCAAAACCTGGCATTACCGAGGATGTATGGCAAGGTTGCCTTTCCTCTAACTACTTTAAGATTGATTAGGAAACAGAAATATTGATGCATTTATCCAAAATAACTTAATTAAATGAAGCAAAAAATAGCGCACAGGAACATGTCTCAGTAGAAAACTGGAGCTGATCAAGATCATGAAAGGTTACATTTAATATTCCTGGACTGAAAAACATCAGGACTATTAATTGAATATCAGTAATGGAGAATACAAAGAGTAAGAAAGTTATTTAATGTTTTCCTAACTGACTGGGGGTTATTTAATGTTCAGTAACTTCTGCAGGTTTGCAAGCTACCAACATTTGGGGGTCCTGCAGGGCATCCCAGGACAGCAGGTGAAGAGAACATCTCAGAGCACAAATCTGCATTACCTTGGCTAATGCTCAAATAAAAATGAATAAAACCCGATGGAAAGTGTTGTCTGTGTTGGCTTGGTGTTGACAAATTGGTATTTGTCAAGGTTTGGGGGATACATTCAGCTGTCTTCAAGCACCACTGGCTGCTCACATCCTCGAGGCTCAGCCCAGGCTCAATCCTGGCTCCTGCTGCCTTCAAAGAGAATTTAAGTGACAAAACCCCTGAAGGACAAGACATCAGGGGCTGTTATCTCAAGCCACAGCAGTGTTCAGGTCTGTGGTTTTACAAGGGCTTTCTCCTCATCTGTTTTACTTTCTTTGGGAGAGGCATTAGGATTTTGTTAAAACCTCCAGAAAAACAGCGAGGATGTGCCAGATGAACTAGGGAACTTTCACTCTAGTTTAGTTTGGAAACCCATATCTTCATTTTAAACAGTGGCTTCTGAAATGCAGAGTAGCACCAGATCCAAGCTAGAATCAGAGAGGTTCAGACTGCTCTGTGTGGAGCACAGATGATTTTATTAGGGCCCACCAGGAGCTCCACAGCCTGGCAAATCCAGCTGAAGAACCAGCACCACTGGTAAACTTAAAACATTGCAATGCAATAACATGGGAAAATAGGTTCTTCTGGGAGAATGAGGAACTGCAATTGAAAATACATAATTCCCAAAGCTGCATCCAAGGAGAATGGAACAAAGATTTGAAATACTACCCCTAGAGTTTTCCCCCACCATGGTTGCAATTGTTTTGAAGTACCCTGTTTAAAATAGGTTTTCAAACCATGCAAGACTAATCACTGCAATTTGGAGAGGTAAGTAGGCGCTTAGCATGTAGTTCACAATTAGCTAAAGATGGTAGAAGAATCTCAGGTTGGCGCAGGAGATTTTTTAAAAAAAAAAAAAAAAAAAATTTTTTTCTAGCAAGAATGACATTTGATGGGAGGATACAGGAAGATAATTGTCATAACAAAGGGAATGTGTTGCTATTTATTGGCCACACTTAAGCACTGGAATCCTGGATTATAGTATCTGGTGACAAATGTTGCTTGAAATTTTGTAAATATCACTTAAAAACTATGATAAATGAGTAATTCTGCATGTACTCCACAAACAACCCTTTCAAAACTCAGTTCTGGGAAGCAGAGTGACTTTTTTTGTCCTATAAGAAAAGACAAAATGCCTGAGCACCCTAAAATCTTGTTCTCTGTAGGCTTCATCCTACTCTTACTACCAGTTGAGCAATATTGCTGGTAACTGCGGCAAGGGAATTTTCTAAACCAACCAACCAACTGAACTTTGTGGCACCTTCAAGGTGTGGCACAGCCCACCCAGGTGGTCCCCTGCCCCTGCGTTGGTGCCAAACCCACCCAGCCTTGTGCTGTCCCCAGCAGGGACCATGGAACCAGAGGGAAGGGCTGAGCTGGGAGGGTCACAACACTCAGCTCCCCACGGGCTGAGACCATTCCTCTGCCAAAATGACAGCTGTAAATAAATATTTAGTGTCTAATTTCTATATCCTTCAGTATCTCAACTTATATTTAGCCCAAACCATGGCACATTTATCTGATTTGTTGCTATTAATTTCCTGGTTCCCTTTCTATTTTCTTCCTCCTCTCACAGATTCACTGGGTTATGAACTGCAGTAATAACATTTCCAAGCCAATTTTTTTCCTATTTGAAAAGCTTCTGATATTTTTCTTTAAATCACTCCAATACTGCTGGGATACTCATTACCCTCCTCCTTCCCTCCCCAGCTCTGGAAGTGAATGCAAACAACAACGAGGATGGTGGGGGGAGAGAGAGAGAAAGCCCCAAACCCTCAGCAGTAAGTTGGCTGATGCTGGCAGCCAGACAAATCTGGCACCACACAGCAGGCAGGCAGGCAGTGCACTGCTCATCCTTTCGCTTTGCTGTGTGTGGGGATGCTGGACACCAGCAGCCAGCCAGGGATCCGGCCAAAGGCTGCTCTGCTCGGCGCCTGAACCCTGCTGCTCTGTGCCCGGGTGGGAGAGACAGGTAAAACCAGAAATGCTTGAGATTGCTGCCTTCTATTTCACTGACTGCAGTTAGGAGAAGCCCAGGCTGCCTAATCTTATTCCTAGCACAAGGCACAGTGCAGGGGCTGGGCATATAATGCTCTCAGGTACCGGGACTGCAGCAAATAAATTGGTGCAAGTGGCAGTGAAGGTTTTATTTTTGGGGGGGTACACTTTGTTCAAGTTGCCTTTATAAATATTTATTACTATTTATATAATTATAGCTCTCTGACAGCGGGCTTTACAGCAACTTTGAGCCACAATAAACAGGCAGCCTGGATGCCTCCTCCCCAGCCTGACTGTACCTATTCTATGTGTTATGTGTTTATCTATTACCACCATGCTTTGAGCTTATAATTTATTTCATAATGTAATTTATAGTTACATTACAAAAGCATCCCTCTGCAAACAGCAACCATGTAATATTGATAAAGCATTTAGGGACAGAACATAAATTCAACGGCTCAGATATTATGTAGTATCAATAATCTGCAGGGGAAAAAAGTGTCTGTGTAAGTATGCACAATTTATTATGGCAGGAACCTAAACAGAGAACATCTTTCTCTGTCAAACTTTCTTTACGAGAACTTGACATCCTCAAATTCTTTTCTCTCCCACAGATGTCAGAGGACAAGACAGACAAGGTAAAAATCAAAGCAGCTGAAAGTTTTGAACATGAAAAGCAAAATATTTCTTGGCTGAAAAAAGGTAAGTTACTTTGAGTTATTAGTCACTGGTTTGTGTTCAGACATTTCTCTTTTTCTTAAAAAAAAAAAAAAAAAGGCAGAACATAGCCTATAAGCTTGAATAGGGCCTGAAATTTCTACCATAAAAATTCCATAGCTTGACTTCTGCTCAAAATGCACAGACAATTTCTTTTGTACAGAAAGGCCTAAATTATCAAATTTTGAAGTAACCTTAAATCTCATTTTTCTAATGTCCTTGCATTCCTAGGAAAGTTTCATTTGACCTGACTTATAAGTATGGATGATCATCTTACTTTTGATGAAAAGTTTTTAGCAACTAAAACAGCTACTTAATTGGATTAATATTATTAAAAATTATTTTCTCAAACATGAGTAAAAATTAAGCCTGAATCTTCAGATTTGGCAGGGTCTTATCTTAGAATAAAGTAACATCAGTTGTCAGCGCTTTGGATGCACAGAAACATAGACCCTCAAATGTAGACAAGTCATAAAAGTCAAGCATAGGGACCTTTCAGGTTTAAAAGGCTGAAAAAGAAATGGCATTAAGTAGCTAATTTGCAACAAATACCAGTATTTCAAAGACTACATTCTATTTTTAAGCTGTTTAAAAAAAAAAAAAGAAAAAATTGCAAAGATTTCCATATTGTTTCTACCCATAAAGAAGGAATCTTCTTAGGATAGATTTCTTGCTGAAAAAATTTGATTTGCTAAGTTAGAACATAGCTTATTACATCTTCATGCAAATTTGTTGGTCATAGCAGAATCCCTTTATTGGATTCATTACAGACAAGTAGGATTTGAATTAAATAGAAGTTCCAAGAGTAAGCTTTCAAGATGCACAAGATAGAAATTAAATGTCCATGGTTGCATGCAAATTATGCTTTTTAATGAGAACAGTTGTATTCTAGTCCTAAAAAAATAATTTTGGGAAGACTCAACAAGTGACCTCATATTTTGAAAATGCCAACTATGGGAGTATTGGGCAAAAGGCACATTTGTAGCCACTGTTATGTCACCTGTAAGACGTGCATCACGAATTTAAGCTCATGTCATTAGCTGTATGTTAGTTGCAAAAGAGTTTGCAGCAAAGCAGACTTGAATTAATGTCCCTGCCTTGCAGCCTTCCATGTTTTTGCAGCATTTGCACAGAATGAAAAGCTCCCACTGGAGCAGGGCTCAGTGACCAGTCCATGTTTTTGCAGCATTTGCACAGAATGAAAAGCTCCCACTGGAGCAGGGCTCAGTGACCAGCAGGGCTCAGTGACCAGCATGCAAACTTGGCTTGGCTGGACACCCAAAGTCCTCTGCTTGCAAGGGGACAGTTAACTACAACAACAACAACTCAGCAAGCAGAAACTTTGCAGTTTCAGTGTCCCAGAGAGGCATAAATTTGAGTGACCAAACAGTAAACATAACTGAATTGAGTATTCATTCCACCACTATAGAGTAAAACACGAGAGATCTGCGACTCTACAAAGGGATATAAAAGTCCAAAGGATTTTACCACGTCTCTGAACAGGGTAAGAGTGATGGCAGGGCCCTCAGAGTCCCATAGTGTGATTTATCCTCTGGTCCAGAGCTCCTCCAGGAGCCAGGTGCATCCCTCCCAGCTGCACGCCACCTGAGCTCATTCCACTTAGCTAGGCTCCTTCACAAGGTTTGATTCCTCCAGTTCCTGTGCAGAGATCCTATGCAGATTTTCAGGATCATTAGCAACATTTTGATTGTTCTGTGCTTGGAAGAGCTACAATCTCTCAGAAAGAGCCAAGTGTTGACTATTGGCACTTCTCCTTCCCAAAGTGCCACCAAGCAGAATTGGGCCTTGAACATCTCCTACAGCAGCTGAGTCAATAACTGAATGTGTCTCATGAGGAAAGCAAGTTTTCCTTGAAATAAGAATATGGAAATTATTTTATCTTAAATTGAAGTTTGTTTTTAAAAAAATTGTTGTTGTTTCTTTGCTTCAAGCACTTCTGTGGTATGCACTGGGATTTTAGAATATGGTGAAACAAATTGTCTGGAGCAGAAGCTTAACTTCTATGTTTAAATGTTTTAAAAATACCTCATGTATAGATTTCAGGCATTCCAATAAACAAAGAATTGTGGAGAACAGACTTGTACTGTTTCCATCAGGCACAGTAAGAAGACTATATGTTCTTTTAGCATCCAGTGTTAAAGAAAAGTTATTTTTATTCATGGTTTTGTATTGATTATTTGTTCCTTCTAAAAGAAACAATCATGAACCACATAGTATCAGAAATAAACAACTAGGCTGTGGTTTTACTGTCTTTCCTAGACTTCAGTTTTTCCTAATGCTTTGCAAAGTAAAAGCTCAGATACTGGTTGTACAGTGGGTCAACAGCAAAATAAGGTATCTATACATTTTTGTTGTCTTTCAGCATTAGAAACTGTTTAATCAGGGCAGAGGGATTTTGATCTGGCTGCCAGTTATTTATCTTCTACTTTTTCTTGGAACAAGATAATTTACTTCTGTCATGAACCCTCTAAGAGCAGAAATCAAAGCCTTGTTCTGAGGGAGAACTTTCCCAAAGCAAAACAGAAACCAAACCAGCCTTGTCAGAAGTATCAGAGAAAAACAGTAGGCTGGGCATCTAGGCTTGTATCTTATCAGCAGGAAGAGTACAAACAGTTCAGATCTGCCTCTAAATAAGTCATTTTTACTCACTGATGTGCCCTCACACCCCTGCCAGGGGTGCATCAGGAAACTGATGGCAGTTAAAGATGACACAGGGACAAAAATGCTGCACAAGTCAGCACAGTCTGGAAAGTCATAATTATGGCCTTGGTCTGTATTTTTTTAAAGGACAATGACAAATTTATCCTTCCCTTTTCTTTTTTTTCCTTGTACTACAAGCCTTTTACTGGTGAAGGGTCCTCTACAGTACCTGCAGAATGTAGAACCATAATTAAATAGTAATCAAAATGTAAATAGGGGAGAAGAGTGTTAAATGTGTTTTCTAGGTTAGCTTACACTTTAAAAAGTCCCAAAACATCTCTATCTCTTGAGGCATTTAGCATTGAAGTCTAGATGTGGATAGCTTGAAAGACTCCCAGGGATGAAAGTGAGAACAAGGATGGTGAAATGTTTACAGTCCTATTCCAAGATGTCTCAGGGTAAGGAATATATACACCAAAAATGTTTTCTGATAGTATGGAATATTCTTCAGGACTATTTATTTCTAAAGATCACACAACAGATGAGAAACCCTGCATCTGGAGTGTATGCATCAGACCATCACAAGTAAATCAAGCAGAATCTGTATGAATGAGCACAGAGAAAAGGCAGCTGTGACCTCAACACTGATGTGAACCAACCCAAGGAAAGCCTGGGATATAGCAGCAAAACCAGACAATGACTCCTATTTTCTGTAGGAGGGGAGACAGACATTGGTGCTTTCTTCTTCCCATGGGAGGAAAAGGGGAGTTGCTGGAGATGGGAGTTGGTTTTGAATGGAGATACAGAGATCCCCATGTCAGTGCCCACAAAACATCAGGGCAGAGTGAAACATGGGTTCATTAGCAAAGGAGTTTTTCAAAAGTTATCTATCTGCCGTGGAAAACTGGAGCAGGAATCCTCAGTGCATGTGCTCTCCCCACTTATGCACATTTTGCCCTGACATGCACAAAATAACATAAATGACAGTGCCTAGAATATGACACATATAAATAAAGAATAGCCAATATAACTTGAAGATAATATTTGAGAAATGTCCTCTGCAAGGCCTTGCATCCCCACCTGCTTCATGCACTCATAAGATTCCATGGACAGAGAGTGACAGAAAAAGTGGCAAGTTTTTTTAAAATTAAAAATAAAATAAAATAAAATAAAAAGGAGAGATTGAAATTAGATGTTAGGAAGAAATTCTTCCCCGCGAGGGTGGTGAGGCCGTGGCACAGTGTGCCCAGAGCAGCTGTGGCAGCCCCTTCCCTGGAAGTGTCCAAGGATGGGTTTTATGGAGCTTGGAGCAATCTGGGATGGTGAAATGTGTCCGTGCTCATGGCAGGAGCATGAGGTCCATTACAGGTCCCTTCCAACCCAAACCATTCTATAAGTCTGTGATTCGATGAGCAACAAGCAGATCTTCACACCCCAAACAAGAATCTCTGGGCCCCTAACCCAACATTAGAGGGTCCTGTAAAAATCTGGAAGCTACACGAGACCTGCCTTTAGACAGGCAGCACTCAAGGATGAGCAGCACTCCAGGAATGGCTCTGGGATGGTCCCACCTCACCCAACACATCCACAGCCCTGCCTTTCCCCACGGGCCAGTGGCTCCTTGCACCATGGCAGTGATTTAGGGCCAGACCAGCAGCCATCTGCTGGGAAAGGAGGGAGGTCAAAGCAGAGCTAAATTCACACCAGCCTCAGCATGTGGCTTTTGGAGCTCCTTGCAAACAAATCTCTCGGTATCACTCGGTGATTGCAGCCAGATGGGAACGTGGGAGCAGGCGGGAGCTTCTCTGACGGACACAAAGCTATAAAAGGTGACACTGATTTTGCACAGGGACCACAGTGCTCTGTTCACTATTTCTGCATCCATTGCGAACACAAGGGGGAAAAAAAAAAACGTTTGAGGGCCTCACACTGCCCTCCCATGGTTTCATCCCAAACTGGCCACGGCAGCCCAGGAACGCAGATCCAAGTCACACAGAAATGAAATTTCATTTCAGGATATTTTCACACAAAGCCCTCCTGTTTTATGCTGCCCAGCTGTGTACACAAATGCCCTCCATATATAACTTCCAGTGAAAAGTTAATGAAATGGCTTCCTTGCTCTCTTGCCAAAAATATAACTGAAAGTCTAATCTCAAGACTTTCTTCAAAATAGCCCCTTTTTGCACTAAAATTCTCATAAATCAGAAACATTTTTGTCTAAAATAAGCCTGTTTTCATTGTCTTGCAAATAGTAAAAAGTCTAGCCCCAATTTCTTTAATCCACTGCTCCAGCCAGCAGATTTTTTGCTGTAGGGTGAAATTCA